CCCCAGCACCCTTTTGTGTTTTGTGTCAAATAAATGAATTTTGGTTAAATAAGGAGCAGTGTGTGCGCAGTTCCCTCGGGGGGGCTGGGGGGGACATGGTGGGGGGTGTTACGGAGGGATGGGGGGTGCAACTGGGCTTCAGCATGTCTATGAGTGAGGGGTGGGGAGGAGGGTGCACTATGGGGGGGCCCTGCACCCTGTGGCTGCCCGTGGCCCCTCCTGGGTACCTCTGGACACTGGTAGGGATTCCAGTCTGGGACAGACTCTCCCTGGTCTCTTCCTCAGCAACACTTTGAGAAATGTAGGAAACCCCCCCAAACCTTTGGAACAGCACAGCAGCAGGATAGGGGTGTTTGGTCCTGCGGGGTGGGTGCCTGCCTGCCCCAGCTTCAGAGCTCTGATTGCATCAGGAGGCTGCTCTGACCCACCAAATCCCATTTTCGGGCTTTTATCCTTATCTGAGGCCGGGACAAGCCCTGGGTGACTCACGCAGGGGTGGAAATGGGACCTGGTGCTGTGAAATACCCAAACCTGAGGGATGGGGGCATGGGACTCCCCGGGCGTGGATGGGAACACAGGACCCCTGTGTGTGGAGGGGGACATTGAACCCCCTGGGTGCTGGTGGGGGTGATTTGGGTGCTGGGCAGGACCCTGGCTCATCCCAACCAGCATTTTGATGAGCCACCAAATGGCTCCTGTCCCACTTCCCCCCACAGGCCCTGCCGCTTCCTGAGGCTCTGCTCGAAATAAATCTTCCCCCTATTTGCTATTTACATCCTTCATTTATTGGTGATGAACTATCCTGTCTCCTCAGCCTTTGTTCTCGCTTGGCAAGGATGCAGGATCATTACTGGGTTCCTTGGGAGGCTTCCCGTCGGGGAGGGGCTGCCTCTGCCTTCCTGCCAGCCCGCTCTGTGTTTGTGGGCCATCAGCTGGAGCCCCCCCTCGCAGGGATGGTCCTTTGTCCAAAGAGGGAGAATGGGGGGGGGACTGGGGGACTGGGGGCTGCACAAACCCTCCAGCTGGAGGGGTGGTAGCCTGCTTGGGGATTTTTCCAGTGGATCTAGTTAGATCTAAGGGCCAGGAGGACTTAAAGGGGTGGGAATGTTGCATCCCAGCATATGTTTACATTCCAGATACTGCCCAGCCTCCCTCACCCCGGAGAGACCCCTCGATACCACTAATCTGTCAGTCCAGATGTCCATCCATCAATCCAACAGTTCCCTCCTTCCTCTATCCCTCCATCCATCCATCCCTCTGTGGTTTAGGGGTTGCAGTGGCAGTGCTGGGCTGATGGTTGGACTTGATGATCTTAAAGGTCTCTTCTGACCTTGATGATTCCATGATTCTGTCCTTCCCTCCCTCCATAATTTCCTCCATCTGCTCTCCCTCTCTTTCTCCACCCCTCCACCCCACCATCCTCTTTTCCCTCCCTCTATCCATCTCTCCATCTCTCCCTTCATCCCCCCACCACCCCCAAATATCCCAGCACTGTGGGGGTGGCGAGGTTGCTGTTCCCCCCCTCTGGTGCAGCCGCCAGGCACGGAAACGGCCGCAGGCGCCCGGCCAGCGGAGACGGAGCTGCTGACTTTCTATCCGCCTCTTGGAGATTTCCCTTTCCCTTCCAGGAAGGAAATGTTTGGCTGAGGAATCTCTGGGGAGAAATGCAGGGACACTCCAGAAAACAACAAGGCCGGAGCCGGGGGTGAGGGACAGTGGGGCCAGACCACCCGTCGGAAGGAGATAAGAAAGGTGTTGCCTTCCTGCCAGTTCCAAGGGAAGATGAGGAGGGAAGATAGAGGGGGGACAGCAGGGATGGGGGGGATGGGGAGCATCCTTGGAAAGGATGGCTGGGGAGCAGGGGGTACGCTCCTGGCAGAGTCTGGGGACCCTCCATCCCTAAAAGACAATGCTCTGGTAATCCTGGAGTGCTTAGGGAATGTGGGGTGTGCTCCCAGGAGTGTCTGGGAACCCTCAAACCACAAAAAGTGATGCCTTGGGAATGCTGTGGGTCCCAGCTCAACCGGGAGGCACAGCCAGGGGTCCTCAGATGTGGGGCTGGGAAGAAAGAGGTGGTTCCACACACACCCCCTTGGCTGGAGCTAAAAATGGGCTCTGGCAGGGGAACGTGGGGGGATGGGGGTCAGGGGCGGGGACGGGATGAGGGGCAGCTCCCCCTGCCCCAGGGAGCCCCCTCAGCCCCCCCTCCCCGCTTTTCTAAGCTGCCAAACGGGATGTTCAACACCTCCCCCCCCCCCCATCCCGCCCGGGGGTGCCGAAATAATCTGGTGGTGCTAAGGATGTCCCCGGGCGTCCTCTTTGAAGTGACCTCCGTGTTTACAGCCCTGCTCGGGCTCCTTCACACCTTCCGCCCCAAAGCAAACGGAGCGGGGGGGAGGTGGGCGAAGGGGGTAGAGGGGGGGATTGAACGCGTGATGGGGGGACCTCCAGCTCCCGTTTGTGCCGGGAAAACTGGGATTTGCCTGAGCCGCGGCGGAGCTTTAGCACACGCGGGGCTCAGAAACTTCGGTCACTGCGGGGTAGGAGCGGTGGCTGCCGGGGGTGGCATTTCGGGTGGCTAGGGGGCAACCCTGCCCCAGTGTGTCCCCACCACACCGAGCCCTGGGTGACCCACCCGTGGGTGGCCGGCTCCACGCGTGCGAGGGGGACCCCCGAAGGTTCGGGATGGTCCCTGTGTGACACCGCAGGGCTTGGGGACGGTGGGGCAGGATGGAGAGGAGAAAAGTGCTGTGGGGAGGGGGAATTTGGACGTGTGTGGGAGGCTTGGGAAGGGAGGTGGGGATAGGGTGGATGGATGGATGGATGGATGGATGGATGGATGGATGGATGGATATGCTGGGAGGGAAGGAGAGAAAGACAGGTACGTGGGTAGAGGGATGGATGAAGGGATGGACATAGGGGAGGACATGCAGGGAAGTGCCAGGGTTCGGGAATGCCCTGGGCCCCCCACAGCCGTCAGCGCTGGTCCTCCAGCGCCCGGCAAGGCCCGGGGGTGGGCACCGGTAGCCCCTGTCCCACCGCTGCCCCCCACCCCTCCCCTCCCCGGCGGCGCGGCCGGACACGGCACAGCTGTTGCCCGACCTCCGGGCTCCGGCCAGGCGGGACCGGTCCCGCAACCCCCTGCCCGCGGGGAGGGAGTCCCGGGCAGGGGAGGACAAGGAGGTGACCCGGCGGCCACAGCTGGGCCCCCCCAGGGTCTGGAGATGCTGCCAGAGGAATAACAGGAAGCACTGGAGGGAAAAGCAGGGCTGATGTTTTCTGCAGGTTGGGGGTCGTCGCCTGCGCCCTGCACGCACACGGGTGGCTGCGCGCACACGTATGTCTGACACACGCGCGTGTCCCTGTCACACACCCGTG